TGCATTGCTGTTTTAAAAACAAGTGCTTGAACTAATTCAAATACAGGGGACAGATAGTCGATAATGGTTCTCAGAGACAGGGATTCCACTGGCTCAGCACTAGTGAATTATTTCCCAATGTTGGCAAGGGTGGAGTATTATTCCCCAAGGAAATGCAAAGTTTTGGAACATTAAAAATTCAACCTGTGTAGTAAAACCGGCTTACAAAACTTGAGTGAGAGACAGGAAATTTCACTCTACCTCTTATCACAGACAGCAGAAGGAAAGCCACATTAAGCATTGCCTGAGTATTATTTGCCCAGAGCTAAGGAAGATCGTCTCTGCAGATGTTGGGCAGATGCCACAAAGAAGGAAAGATAGAGTTGGCAGAGGGATAAATAGCAAGGACATGCAAGAGATGTAAAAAAAAAGCATAAATATCAAGGAGAGTAATCATGTTTCCAGAAAAGGGGTGAAATTAACCGTTCACTGCTTCTTCTCCCTCATTACATGGACTAATAACATGTTTGTAGATCAAACTGTTTTACTTTGTCATTAAATGGGAACATTGAGATTGTACCAACGTGAGGTACACAACGGGGGCCAAACATAAGCACAGACTAAACTAGAATGAAGGGATTAACATGATCGTGTCACACGTACCTTTTCAGATAGGAAAGAGGAACAAATTTGGCACCAAAATTCACCAGCTTATCGCAACCAATACTCCAACCCAAATATAAAGCTGGTCGCAACCTGTTGGAATTTTTTAGATCTGATCTATCAGCTCAAGAACAGCCATTAAATAAAAAGGCTACCTAAACCATCCATTCGGATTATTCCCAATGAGGTACAACCCTCACATTATACAGGGGATACATTTTGTTGATCTGAGAGATCAACAAGTACCTTATAAGCATCAAGTTCAAATGAACACACTGATGACCTATTTAGATCTAATATGATTGCTGCTCGATCTGTATAAAAATATTCAGATCAGAAGAACAACTGTACGTCCATATGAGCCGCAAAGACTGCAAGGCCAACCGATCTCTGTAGAAAACTGATCATTCGGGTTGGATCTTCCTGAAGGATAACCATTTCTCCTGAGATACAACCAATGCCCATGGTGTCTGCAAAGTTCACAGATGCACATGCCTAAAAACCATCCATTCTGATTATACCCAATGAGGTACAACCCTCACATCATACAGGGGATACAATTTGTTGATCTGACAGATCAACAAGTACCTTACAAGTACCTTATGACCATCAAGTTCAAATGAACACTCTGATGACCTATTTAGATCTAATATGATTGCTGCTCGATCTGTATAAAAATATTCAGATCAGATGAACAACTGTACATCCATATGAGCTGCAAAAATTGCAAGGCCAACCGATCTCTGTAGAAAACTGATCATTCAGGTTGGATCTTCCTGAAGGATAACCATTTCTCCTGAGATACAACCAATGCCCATGGTGTCTGCAAAGTTCACAGATACACATGCCTAAAAACCATCCATTCTGATTATACCCAATGAGGTACAACCCTCACATCATACCGGGGATACAATTTGTTTATCTGACAGATCAACAAGTACCTTACAAGTACCTTATGACCATCAAGTTCAAATGAACACTCTGATGACCTATTTAGATGCAATATGATTGCCTGCTCGATCTGTATAAAAATATTCAGATCAGAAGAACAACTGAACATCCATATGTGCTGCAAAGACTGCAAGGACAACCGATCTCTGTAGAAAACTGATCATTTGGGTTGGATCTTCCTGAAGGATAACCATTTCTCCTGAGATAAAAGCAGTGCCCATGGTGTCTGCACAGTTCACAGATGCACATGCATGCTAATTTTGTGGGATTGTACGTTTAAGCATCTGCCCTATGGAACAATTGTAGATGAATCTTCCAAATGCCATTTTATGCACTTTGCTTATCTGCCAGCTTCTTATAAAATGGAAGTATGGAGGAAAGAAACAGGGTGTTCAGCCATTGACACAGCTTGGCACGGTTTTAAGAAACACTGCCAAGTACAGTACTAATTGATTAAATTAAAACTTGTTGCTCTTGTGTTAGTTTTAGGCAAACATGAGCCAATACCCAAGACTGTTATAGCCAAACTCCATTTTATAATAAAAATTAAATAATATACAGCCCAAGCTTTTAAAAGAAAAAGCCGCTCTCGCCGTAATAACTGTTGGGAATGCAACAGCATGTACTATATAGTATTGTGTGTTAATATCACTTGACCAGTAGATGGCACTGTACACTAAGGTTACCAGTTGTGCATATGTGTAAAACTTGTTGGTTCTCTCTCCTTCCTCTCTTCAAAAAAAAAAAAACCAAGATGTCTGCTGAAATGTGTTTTGTATGTTTCCAACTTAAGCCACACAACTAAAACAGAGTTCTGCTTCATCACAAGCTACCAGTGTCTTCTCTAACACATAACCAACAATAACTACCTCCTCTCTAGTGCTGTACCTGCAGGCTCAAAATCCGGCACAGCCCCTGTTCCATTACACCTAGCTCCATTCAACCCAATTCCTGTGAGCCCAAAGTTTCAAGGACACACCTCCTGGGGGTGGGTCATTAGACTGCCCTGGGTTCACAGAAGAACTCTGCAGAGATCGGCACCATGTGGTACCATTTGTTGCAGCTTTTAGGACTCAACCACCATCAGATAACAAAGAGTAGTCAGAGAATGGGAAAACCTGGAAGAGGCATTACCATAAGAACTCTTTCCAAAGAACAATAGCATTCAGTTCTCACCATAAAGGGTAACACCACTCAAAGATAGATGTCATTATTTGTGAAATCAGTTATTCTTCCATAAAATAAACCAGAGTTTTGTAATGTCAAGATGATGTAAAGAAGAAGAAGAAGAAGACGTTACTCTGATAAGACTGGATGGATGTATCTGTACAGATTATGATGTGAGAACATAGATTCAGCCCAGAGCTCAGAGATAAGAATGTTCAAAGAGCCAGACAGGCTTTCCTCGCAGGCACGTCGTTTTCTAAGCTTCTGCCGCGGATAATCTGCGGACCCCACAGGGTCTACAATTCCCGCAGATTGAGCGCTCTATCCCTTTGATGATTGTCACAAAGCGCCAGCAAGAAGACCACAGCGGTATGCATGAGAACGCTTTATGGTGGGTTAAGGCTAGCATGTAACTACAACTATTCTCAGGCTAAATAGAGAGTTCAGCCATATCTGTGCAGACTGGAGAGCTCCTTACATAAGACAGTTCTTTGTTTTCGGATGTACTAAGGGGAAGAAAAACAAAACCGCAACTGGATGACCTTACGTTTGCTCTGTGCATAATAAGCAATTCCCATTTTTTATTTCAGAAGTTCCTATTTTCACTTCCTTTTTGCTTCTCAGTGCTGCTGGTCTCCTTCAGTCTGGGTTAAATAACAGCATCATTTAAAGTGGTTGTAAATCTCAGACAAGGAATATGAACAATGCATATCCCTCTATAGTGTGTAATTATCTCAATTAAGAGCACTAAGTGTCATTTCTCTCTGCTGATTTGTTCCTCTGCATGAACCACTTCTGACAAGTTTTCCTGACACCAAGAGAAAAAATGGTGACAGGGGTGGGACCTCCAGCAGATTAACAGCCTCATTATTATTATTATACAGAATTTATATAGCACCAACAGTTTGCTCAGCGCTTTACAATATAATGGGAGACAATACAGCAGCGATACAGTTCAATACAAGAGGGTTAGGAGGGCCCTGATCCTAGGAGCTTACAATCTAAGAGATCTCTGTTCTTCTGTCCTGTGTGGAGGGAGGGTGAGTCTCTTCCCTCCAAGCTTATAAATACAGCACTTTGAATGGAAGTAGAGAGGAGAAGACTGCAGATAAACAGGCACAATTTATATAGGATGATTTGTTTCATCATCATCTGTGTATCACCTGAGGATAGTCACTTCACTGGGCATATGTGAGGATTTACAACCACTTCAACTCACTTTCTTTGGACCCAGAGAATGGTGTAGAGTACTTTACTTACAATACTAAGTGGAATGTAGGGGGTGCCACAAGATGGGGAGGATCTGCCCAACCTGAAGTTGAGCTTTAAAGGAAACCTTTACTCGGCCAAACCTCAACTCCTGACTAAACACCGGAATACTTTTGCCATCCTTTCTATACTTTTTTTCTAGGATACACAGTTCCAATGATGAGCTGTGGCATAAATTCTGCCAACTTGGATCCCATTTGGGATAGGCCAGTGATGGAGGTAATGTTAGCCAATGAGATTCCTTCTGTGAACAACCTGCAGGTGCTAGTCGCTGGAAACTGCTAGGGAGTGCTGTCAGGAACCTCGCACCAAAGGAGGGAAATTGACATTCTGGGGGACATTTACTAAAACTACAGAGTGCAGAATCTGATCCAGCTCTGCAGAGAAACCAATTGGCTTCCAGGTTTGTCAAAACGTAATTGAAAAAGCTGAAGTTAGAAGCTGATTGGCTACCCTGCAGAGCTGCACCAAACTGAGTGTTCTAGTTTTAGTAAATCTCCCCCTCTAGGTCATAAATGGGAGAAGAGGCTACACAGAAAGAACAGCTTTTATTTAGACTTTTTATTATTTTTTTTCACACGTGAGATTAAATGAAGAGTGGAAACACTTTAGATAAAGTTTCCTTATGGACTGTTGCCATACAGGTTTAGTTAGAAAGGTGTCACAACTAAGCTCAAAAATAGCTTGTTTGGGCACCAGGAGGTACATGGGCCACAACCATGAAATAATGCTGGGTGCCTGAGAGGCCAATCAGCTGTCATCGTTAACTGTCACATGGGCGTTGGAGGAGTAAGTCACATTCTCTCCCATGCCTACAACTACCAGGCATTCTTCACAATCATTGGTTCAATTCATGCTAAAGGTGTTCAGTAGGGTTGAGGTCAGGGCTCTTGAGCTCCATGACACCAAACTGACTAAATCATATTTTTATGGAGCTGGCTTTATTCACAGTCATGCTGGAAATGGAAAGAGCTTCCTCAAACTGTGACCACAAGGTATAAACTCTGCTCTTATGCTGTATTATTAACAGTGACCGTGAGTGGAAATACCTAAACTTCCAGTAAACCCAGACCCTGCATTCACTATATATGGTCTCCCTCAACCCTGCATTCACTATATATGGTCTCCCTCAACCCTGCATTCACTATATCTGGTCTCCCCGGACCCTGCATTCACTATATCTGGTCTCCCGTGACTTTGCATTCACTATATCTGGTCTCCCCGGACCCTGCATTCACTATATCTGGTCTCCCCGGACCCTGCATTCACTATATCTGGTCTCCTCGGACCCTGAATTCACTATATCTGGTCTCCCCAGACCCTGCATTCACTATATCTGGTCTCCCCGGACCCTGAATTCATTATATCTGGTCTCCCGGGACTTTGCATTCACTATACCTTTTCTCCCGGGACCCTGCATTCACTATATCTGGTCACCCGGGACCCTGCATTCACTGTATCTGGTCTCCCTGGACCCTGCATTCACTATATCTGGTCTCCCATAGTACACAGAACATGAAAATGCAATTATTTTATTAAATATAAACTGATAAATACCTTTTCTCATCAGCAGTGTATAGCAGTCTTGTGACTTCTATCAGTGTCCAGCAGAGCACTGGTTAAAGCTTGTAGGAGGAGTTTTCATTCTGCTCTAGGAGGATGCAGGGCCCCTGACCTCTGTCTGGACAATACTGATTGGCCCTCTGCTGATCAAATGTACTCTCCCAAGAAAAAAAAACCTCTCTAGCAATACATACCAAACTGAGAATGTGCAGAGTGACTTCACACACAATATGTCTTATCAGGAGACAAAAGGGGGACACTGGAAGAAGGGGAGGATCATAAAAGACAGGATCAAACAGACTTTTTACACAATGCAGAGGATTAACCCCTTAGGTTCCACAGTGAGTAAAACAAGCATGCTTTACTACATATACAAATTGATTTTACTGTTGTGGGTTTAGTAAAACTTTAATCACTCCACATGCGTTTAGCTATATAGGTAAGTTTTAAGATCAGATGTCCAAAAATGTTTGATCACATGGCATAGTTCAAACCAAGCTGTTTGACCTTTCATACATAGAAAGTGCAGTTGTACCCATTGGTCAACCTGTCGGTAGAAAACCTTAATAAAACCTTGCCCTCATCTGCGAGAAAAGGACTCATCATCAGTGTAGGTACTGCTGTAGCTGAAAAGTAAACAGTGCATGAATGAAAACCTTCAATATGTATATTTATTTGCAAATTTGCAAACAACTGCGCCTTCTGTTTAGATACCAGCTATGTGCTCACATTAAGATTTGTGTTATAGAGCTGCCAGCTGCTCCTGTCTTTCAGGGACTGTAATGATTTCTGAGGATTTGTCCCTGGAAACGTCCCCAATTTTCAGTTCTGACCAACTGTACCATAAAATTGTTTCTATTGGGAGAAGCATTTCTAGTCAACTAGCTCGTATAGCTAATTTTTTATGAAGCAGAGCATCAAGATACTTTTTTTACTGAAATAAATACTCATTTAAAATGACCATAGAACATTTAAAAGTGTAACAGACATGACTGAAAACAAGTACAGCGCTTACAGAAATTAAAGTAGGAAACGTGGGCGTTGCCTAAATATGATTCTAGTGTTCATTCAGCATCAGTGATTCAAATAATAATAGAGGAATAATTCAGTAATGGTTTGTTAGGCATTTTGCTTGCCATGCAGGCGCTGTGCACTGAAGTTGCCCCCACGGGGTGTGGTGTTGTGTGACCTGTGGTGCCACCTTCACAGACACACAGCTCTGTACAGCAGGTACTGACACCCCCCCCCCCCAATCCAACACATGAGTAAGCAAAGCATCTGGGCAGATTCTGAAATTATTGTCAGGATCCCTGCAGGGCCTGGACTGGCTCTGTAACGTCATCCGACAGCAGCCTTTAGCACCCCTTTGACACACAGGAGAAATACGGCCAAAAGAGCTTTGGCCATAGCCCTCTTGTAGGGGGAACATGTACATTGGTACATGGAAAAGTAACAGAATTACTTTACTGTAGTTTTTCTCTAACTCTCCTTACACAGGGCAGTGTACACTGAGCACTGTGTTTGTGTGGAGGCAGAGAAAGCGTCAAATTCACCCATACCTGGAAATATTCCCACATGGAAGAAAAATATATTTGAAATATATTTTAAAAATATTCTTCCCAAATATATTGACATATATTTGAAATGCTACAATTTTTGGCCATATTCAATATATTTAAATTTTTTTTTTATATATTTATATATAGATAGATATATATCTATATATATATCTATATGTATATATATATATATATATATACATATACATATATATATATACAGTGAGGAACAAAAGTATTTGAACACCCTGCGATTTTGCAAGTTCTCCCACTTAGAAATCATGGAGGGGTCTGAAATTCACTTTGTAGGTGCATTCCCACTCTGAGAGATAGAATTTAAAGGCACAGTAACAGGTCTTTGAGAGCCAGAATTCTTGCTGTTTCTTAGGTGTTCAAATACTTATGATCAGCAGTGCAAGACAAATAAATTCTTTAAAAATCATACAATGTGATTTCCTGAATTTTTTCTTTTAATTCTGTCTCTCAGAGTGGGAATGCACCTACAATGTGAATTTCAGGCCCCAGATTACTAAGTGGGAGAACTTGCAAAATCGCAGGGTGTTCAAATACCTCTGTTCCTCACTGTATATATATATATATATATATATATATATATATATATATATATATAAAATGTATGTTGAAATGCATTTTTATTACAAAATATATGAAAAATATTTTTTAAAAATACATTTCAAATATACTGTATGTCTTTAAAAATACAAATCTGCACTTTTGGAATGCATTTACAAATATATATAAAAATATATGTTAAAATGACTTTTGTTATATATGATATATGTTAAAATGAATCTGAAGAATATATTTAAAAAAATATATATATATTTAAAAATATATATTTTTAAAATATATTCTTCAGATTTTTAAAAAATTGTAAAAAATATATGTTAAAATGACTTTTTTTTTTTATATGTTAAAAAAAATCTGAAGAATATATTTTAAAAATATATGTTTTTAAACATATATATATATATATTTTAAATATAATCTTCAGATTCATTTTAACATATATCATATATAAAAAAGTAATTTTAACATATATTTTTTACATATATCTGTAAATGCATTCCAAAAATGTAGATTTGTATTTTTAAAGACACATATTTGAAATGTATTTTTAAAAATATTTTTCATATATTTTGTAATAAAAACGCATACTGAAATATATTTTAAAATATATTGAATATGGCCAAAATTGTAGCATTTCAAATATATGTCAATATATTTGGGAAGAATATTTTCTTAAATATATTTCAAATATATTTTTCTTGCATATGGGTCAGGTATTCCTCCAAGTTACAATGGTAGATTAGGGCAGCAAAGTAAGCAAACCTCTTAAGTGTCTCTACAGAAGAATAAGCCTGTTATTTTGCTCAGCATGGGCAAAGTACAGACCTATGTTAAGTATTAGAAATAACAGTGGAGATAAGTGTTAAGGACTTAGGTAAAGGGTTAAGTATTAGGCTTAGGAATAAGTCTTAGAATCAGGTTGAGGGCTAAGCGTTGAGGGTGGGTTATAACATTACGCATTATTTTATGGGTTAAAACTTATGGATAAAGACTGGTGAACAGCAAAACCTTAGATATTTGGTGGGTTTTAGATAGACTTTACCTTCTACCAGTCTCTAAGTCTGGGCAGCCCTGGTACTCCGACTCTCCCCGAAGTACAACAACCAGTATGATTTAACAGTCACTGTATCTCTGGATACATTGGCGTTACATAATCCATCTGGGTAAGTCACAGCAGGCTTCTTGATCTAGCACTTTTAATTCAGCTGACACAGGCATTTTCTTGTCCTTCATTTTCCTGTCCGCCCCACCATAAAACATTCTCACTGTGACCCTTGGAAGTGCCAAGCTCTTTGACACTGTTCTGTCCCCTCCTGCCAGCCTCGCCAGCGGAGACTAAAACCTCTCCCGAGTTAATTGCATCTGTCGGCGCTTAATCGTGATGTAAATCTGTCTCTTTGATCACGGATTTAGGAAAGAGAAAGCAATTAACACAGATATGTCTATTAGATATAGAATCCCTGCGCTCAGCCAGATTACAAGATGGCAAAATGCAGAAGCTTAAAGAGACGCGATAGAGAAATTAAAGAGCCAAGGCACTGGTATCTCCTGGATTTACCAGGCTTACTTCAAAAGAAAGTACAATGAGTAGAATGAGCTAGTCCTACGCAGGGAAGGATTCATGTCCTTCAAAGAAAGTTCACTTCATTTCCCTTAAAGCATCAGTCTGCTCAAAAGTAATATTTCAGTGTTTGGTAGATGCTGGGGACCTAAGCTGGCCATCCAATGGTCAGTTTATTTCATTGCACTAGAAGGTTGAATGAAGAAACTGACCCAGTTTCCCCCATCCACATGTTCAAGGTGAATGGAGGAATCCTCCCCACTGTGTCATTGTATTCTGACAGCAGAGAGACTTCCCTGCTGTCAGAATACAGAGATCATAGCTGCAGTCTATAGCCTGCAGCAGTGTTTCTCAACCTTTTTTCAGGCAAGGCATCCTTTAAAGTTAAGGACGGTCCCCAGGCACCCTTTAAAATCATGGACAGTCTTGAGGCACCCCATTCTAAAATGGGGTACCTCAAGACTGTCCGTAATTTTAAAAGGACACCCCATTCTAAAATGTGAAAAACTATTGTAATAGTTTTATATAACACAGCAACACCCACACATGTAGGACACCCAAAGATGGAGGTGATTTATTCTTCTAAAGCAAATACACTTTTGCATACTGGTACTGACTAGTATGCCAGTGTTTCTCTTCTCCCTCAGTTTTTCTCCATCACTGAGCTAATGTGACCCCAGCATTGATGGAGAGGGGCAGGGGAGGGTCAAACTAGGATGCTGTGCAGGCAACTGACATCTTCCTTATCAACTGATGATGTCATTGGTTGTCAGGATGTCGGTAGCTAGAAGGTGCACACTGAAAACCTGTTGCTTTGTATAACTAAAAGGCAGGCTCATTCCACCCGATGACTTGTATACAAGCTTTGGGCAATTTTTAGACATTTTGCCAAGGCACCCCTGAAGAAACCTCAGGGCACCCCAGGGTGCCTGGGCACCTTGGCTGAGAAAGGTTGGCCTGTAGCACTGATCAAGAGGAAATTTTCCAGTAACGTGGTTAATCGACTTCTGTACGACCACAATGCCCATACATGGACCAAAATTTGGTTGGTGCCTGCTGAACCAGCCAAATTTCG